TGGCATCGATGGCCTCCAACCTACTAGAGATGGCCTCCAACCTACTAGAGATGGCCTCCAACCTACGAGCGATGGCAAAGCCGTACGGAGAAGTGCCGACTCTCTGCTTTGGATATCATCCGATGGTTACAATGGCTCCTGTAGTTCCAGCTCTTCGCAGCCATACAGTGACAAATTTTGCAAAACAATGATCGGTATGAGACATCTGAGGTGTTTTTGGGAAGTTGTTTTGTCGAACAGACCCAGGCAGTGATGCTTCCTTTAGTCGGACAAATCTTCATCTCAGTGAGGCACGGAAGCATCGAATGAGTCTGACGTGTTCAGAAAATGCACCAAGTCCCCTCAAGTCCGAGCTTGAGTCAGGAGCAAGGACGCTACTAGTAGCTCCTGGCCTTACCACTAGGAACAAGAGGACGCTGCTAGTGATAAAGGGCATCGCTACTAGCAACAAGTGCATCGCTAGGGCGTCGCTCCAGTCAGGTGGCTTCATGATTTGGGTGTGGCCCATCGAGACTTATCGTGATACTCTTGGACCGTCGGACATCGTGCAACGTCCTGTGTCCCACGACTGAGGCTGGAGAACATTCTTCTAACTGATGCAGAAGGTGGGAGCTCGAAACGAGACCGTTTTTAGAGTCCTTGCTCCTAGTAGCGATGCCCTTGCTCCTAGTAGCGATGCCCTTGTTACTAGTAGCTTCTTGTTGCTAGTAGTGTGGCCAGAGCCCCTAGTAACGTCCTTGCTCCTAGTAGCGATGCCCTTGTTACTAGTAGTTTCTTGTTACCAGAGTATGGCCAGGAGCCCCCAGTAGCGCCCTTGCTCCTAGTAGCGATGCGCTTGTTACTAGTAGCTTCTTGTTACTAGTAGTATGGCCAGAGCCCCTAGTAACGTCCTTGCTCCTAGTAGCGATGCCCTTGTTACTAGTAGCTTCTTGTTGCTAGTAGTATGGCCAGGAGCCCCTAGTAGCGTCCTTGCTCCTAGTAGCGATGCCCTTCTTACTAGTAGTTTCTTGTTACTAGTAGTATGGCCAGGAGCCCCGAGTAGCTTGCTCCCGATGCCCTTGTTACTAGTAGCTTCTTGTTACTAGTAGTATGGCCAGGAGC